CCTCCCTCCACCCAAACCCCACTTCCCTTACCGACACCCTCCTCCCTCTACCTGGCCATCTCCCCCCATCTGAGCCCCATCTCCTCACCCGACCCCCATCTCCTTCTGTTCAACCCCCACCTCCCCCACTTCTTCCAGCCAACCTACATTTCCCTCCACTTGACCCCCACCTCCCTCCATCTGAACCCCTCATCCTCCTGACCCCCACCTCCCTCCACCTGACCTCCACGTGAATCAGGGGCTGACCGGATCCCAACTGCCCTCGGTGGCACTGAGGAAGGGGTAAGGCCGCTGTGGCAGCTGTACCACCAGAGGGAGCTCTTGGAGTGAAAGAAAGATCCCCCTGGAGTCTCCAACCAGGTGGGCAGGGCTCAGGAGAGGCCCCCGTCCCTGCCTGGAGCCCCTGGACATAGTTGACACAAGGTTCTGTTCTTTCTGACCAGACTTAGACTAGCTAAGGGGTGTCCGAACAGAGACCACCAATTCACCACGAGTAAACTTTTGATAAGAGAAAAAAGTTTAAACCCTGGGAGGTGCAGTTGCTTGCTAACTGCAAGGTTGTTGGTTTGAGTGTCGAGTGTATACAGAGGCACGTGGAAGAAAGCCCTGGTTATCTACTTCCAAAAAAATTAACGATGGAAAATCCTGCGGAGCACAGGGCTCCCTGCACACACATGGGACACATGGCACCTGAGCCTCTGTCTTTCTAAACTCTGCTTGAAAGTCCACACCCTGCCCCAGATCTATAAGGACAACATGGTGGGGGTAGTCCACCCTGTCTCAGATCTACAGGGGCAACATGGTGGGGGTGGTCCACCCTGTCTCAGATCTACAGGGGCAACATGGTGGGGGTGGTCCACCCTGTCTCATATCTACAGGGGCAACATGGTGGGGGTGGTCCACCCTGTCTCAGATCTACAGGGGCAACATGGTGGGGGTGGTCCACCCTGTCTCAGATCTATAAGGACAGCATGGTGGGGGTGATCCATCCTGCCTCAGATCTATAGGGACAACATGGTGGGGGTGGTCCACCTTGCCTCAGATCTATAGGGACGGCATGGTGGGGGTGGTCCATCCTGTCTCAGATCTATAGGGACAGCATGGTGGGGGTGGTCCATCCTGTCTCAGATCTATAGGGACAGCATGGTG